TGAAGAATAGATATTGGCAAGAGATAGGAGACGGGGCGAGATACGCGAGATATAGATGTGATGAGGCAAATGTAGATGTGATGTGACGATGAAAGAGAGATGCAAACGTGATAGAGGTGAGATAGATTAACCGCCTCTATTTTAATTAATTGTGGAAATTTTATTTAAGCTCACATTTGATGTGAAAACCCAGAAATGCATTTTGGTTTTCATGAATCTGAGAACCCCTTGAGCTACTTGGGGCCCGACGGGTTTGCTTCATTTACTGATCCTGAGCGCCGCCGCTTCGTGTGTGAGGACAAACCCACGAACAGAACAAAGAGGGGTGACTACAACGTTTGCGGTCTCACAAAGAATGATAACAAGGTGTTATATTTCAACATCGTTCCCTTAAGGTGCAATGCGCTTCGTCCATTGTGCTTTCAAAGTTTGAGTCTCTCCAAGGAAGAACGTTTTTTCTCATCTCGTTCACAACCACTCATCGATTTACTGGCCAATAGAACAATCACACTCCCCGAATGTGGAAGTCACGAGGAGCCACGTTTAGATGTCAATACACAAACCAAGGTTATTTCAAATTATCCGTAAATAAACTAAGGGGTTCATCTATTGCAATGGAAACTATTAAGCCTTTCTGAAAGTCTGCTACCTTAATATTCTTTGGGTCTTTCGGTAAAGTCACGTAGATAGGTTCAAAGTTAACAAAAAATTAACCAAAAACCACGACGTTTCGATCAACACACAAGCGATCGTCTTCAGGTGGAAAAAACGGGGGAAAGCTCCCAAAGGAAAGCTGTTTTTAAAGGTTTAAGATGGGCGTAACCCAAGTGTCATCTTGCAGCGCGCCCAACGAAGTGGGCGGGACACAAGGGCCCTGGGGCCAGCACAAGTGTTATGTTATTGTGGGAAATTAACAACTTTTTGTACTTGTAGTAGTACGCCCAACTTCAAGCGGAGATGGTTACGTTAATGAATCAAGAGAAGGGTATGCGCAGGAGCTCTGGAGAAATTAGTAAAATGAAATGAAACTAACATCGGAAGGTGACAAGATGGAAACATCACAGCCAATTATGACTAAAACTGGTTGATGACTAAGACGTTTACTTTAAGTGCTTGTTTATTTATATTCTTTGGTTCTTTCGGTAAAGTCATGTAGATAGAAAAATTATAATAAAAATAGAGTGAATAAACAAACATTAATGTAGACTATAGCCGGGTTCTTAATCGGAGTGAGTGTACTGGCAATCTCTGATGTGGACTGTAGCCTGGTTATTACGTTTGGTGAGTGTACTGGCAGTCTATAATGTAGACTATATCAATGGTTATTAAGCTGGGTGAGTGTACTGGCAATCTATAATGCAGACTGTAGCTTGGTCTTAATCAGAGTGAGCACACTGGCAGTCTATAATGTAGATTTATTCCGGTTCTTTCAGGAATGAAAATGAAAATAAAACAAACAAACAAACCACGACGTTTCGATCACAACACAAGCGGTCGTCATCAGGAAAGGGGGGGTTAGCCTCTAAAGGCAAACTGTTTATAAAGGTTTAGAGATGGGCGTAGCCCAAGTGTGTCAGCAGCATGGGCGGGGCAGCTAATGTTAATGTGGGAGAAACAAACGACACCGGCAGTAGGTCTATACCAATCAAAGGCCGCCAGGCAATCATTGCACCTAGCTCCATACACCCACACTGCTGACGGTGGAGGTTGACAAGAAAACACAAATCAAGTCATGACCCAAAGTGGTTGATGACATCTTTTGAATGATTGCGGAGCTTATAACCAGCCTCTCGGTTGAAATGGTGTCTGTATATATGAATAGCTTCTTGAACAAATCTTGTTTATAGCCAGTAGGCTTGCAAAGTACCATCATCTTAGAGAAATCTATTTCGTGTGAGCCAGCCACATTAAAATTATGATTAGCCACGGCAGAACTATTGGTCCTACCGTGTTTCAAATCTACCTTATGCTCTCAAACACGGTCCAAGACATGTCGCTTAGGTTCCCCAATGTAATTCCTGCCGCAGATAGAGCTTTGTTTTGTAGATGCCGGGATATTGCATGTCAGGAATCTTGTACTTCACAGTTGGGATTAGATCACGCAGTTTATGTATTGTGTTAAATGATTTTGGAAATATTTTTGGTTACCCCTGCTATGTATGGCAAGGTGAGGGTTTTGATTGGATCCTTAGATGGCTCCTTCCTCACGGTTGGGTGATGGTTTTGCGGATTGTGTAGTCAGAGTATCCATTTGCCTTGAGAGCTTGGTGTACGTGTTTGAGTTCACTGGTTAGGTGTTCATGGTCGGAGATACATTGAGCTCTATGGTGTAAAGTTTTGATGAGGGAATTCTTCTGGGATGGATGGTGGTGGGAATCATGTTTTAGGTAGGTGTCAGTATTGGTTACTTTCCTGTAGACAGATTGGCGCATTGAGCCATCAGGTCTCTTTTTGATTAGGACATCCAAGAAAGGTAGCATGCCATCTTTTTCCACCTCCATGGTGAATTTCATGGCTGGGTGTATGGAATTGATGTGGTTGAGGAATTGGGTCAGAGCTGGTCGGCCATGTGGCCAGATGACAAACGTGTCATCTACGTACCTCTTCCACAAGGACTGCCATAGAGTGGATGCCTGGATGGCGTCTGTCTCAAATGTATCCATGAAAATATTAGCTGCAACCGGAGATAAGGGAGAACCCATTGGGGTGCCTTTAGTTTGTTTCTAGAATGTTCCTTTCCAGGTAAAGTATGTATTGGTGAGGCAGTGTCTCACCAGAGCCGTTACATCAGCATGCAATACTTGTTGGACCGAATCTTCAAGGATTGCAATGGTATCGGGCACAGGAACTTTGGTGAACAAAGAAACGACATCGAAACTAACGAGCAAATAATCTGGGGACAGTGAGATGTTTTTAATTGACGATACCAGGTGAACTGAGTTAAGTACAGAAGAGATGGTCCTTACCAGTGAATGACTGAAAGGTCTCAGACAGATATCGGGCCAGTTTGTCGGTGGGTGAGCCAATGGTGGAGACGGTGGGGAGAAGGGGTGTACCTTCTTCATGGATTTTTGGTAAGCCGTATAATCTGGGTGGTCTAGCAGCAGAAGATTTTAAGGAAAACCGTTTGGTCTGTTCAATTAATGAAGCTGAATCAGTAATTATACTGTTCATTTTTGTAACGAGGCTATTGGAGGGGCCTCTTTCATATTTAGTTGTTAACAATGCAGGCTGCACTGTGCATGTACCATAATTCACCAAGTATTATTTTTTTACATGCCTCAAATGAATACAGAAAAAAGGATAAACGCCTAACAAAATTGGTCTGAGTTCAACACAAACAGAGACTCAGCTGTGGTGTGAGAATGATGAGGCCATGCTCGCAGTTTGGGGAATTCTCTGGGCTATGAAGAGTTATTGGTCAGAGATATTAGCGCCGATATCATTTATTTTGGTTGGTTTGGTCTCTTTAATGACGGCAACAAAACACTTTTTATATTCCGCGGCCAAAGAAAAACGATGCCTTCAGCAAAGCCCAGAACCCAGGTTTTTTATTGGATGGCTGGGTCGCTCATGGAGCCAGCTCCCTCATCAGAACACTGAACCTTGAGCCATCAACGGCGAGATTCTGAGTTTGGCTCCCAGAGTTCAGTGGCAAAAAGACATTCGATTTAATGACAAGTCTTTCAAAATTTTATGGGTTCGTAATAAAATGAAAGCATTATTTCAGATAAACGTTCAGTAGCATTTATGAGGAATATCTCAGCATTGGACGGAGGCTTAATGTGCATTGTATATGATTACACTTGCTGTGACAGTCTAAGTATGTCACGATGATAAAGCGATGTAACACAATTTTTGTTCCTGGGTAGTAAGTGTTATTTCGTAATTGCTTATGCCTAAAAAGTATAGAAAATGCCTATTATTCCCCACAAACCTTGCTTTTGTGGCCAGGACAGTGATATTTTGAAATGTACCTATTTTCAATGAGAAAACAGGCGAATCTGTGTTTTGTCGTTCACATAAAGTCAGAAAAAAACTACATATGAATAAACATTAACATGTAATTATACTAAAGTAATACAAAAATTACTACAAAATATTTAGAAGTGAGTAGTTTTTCTAGATTTACGATTACTGTAAATCACTTTCATGAATCAGTCCCCAAATGTAGTCTCCCATCACGTTCTCTTTAAGCTGTCTTTGGTAACGGCGTTCAAAGTCCAGTAGAAGCACTCGCCTTGCTCCTCCGAGTACGCTCCCATGTTCTCCTTGAATTATCAAGATGATCGTCAGGGATTTGGACTTTGAGGGACATCCTACAGCCCATTGTGCCGTAGTTCTTCACCAGAGTCTCAACAAGCTCCACATAGTTTTCGACCTTGTGATTGCCCAGGAAGCCACGAACCACTGTGACAAAGCTGTTCTAAGCCGCTTTCTGATTACTAGTGAGCTTCTTGAGAAATTGCACTCCAGGATCTTCTTTATCTGTGGTCCGACAAAGACACCGGCTTTGACCTTTGCCACAGACAGCTTAGGGAAGAAGTTTTGAAGGTACTTGAAGGCTGCCGACTCCTTATCTACAGCTCTGACAAATTGTTTCATAAGGCCCAATTTGATGTGCAGTGGTGGCATCAGCACCTTCCAGAGGTCCACCAGTGGCTCCCACTTGACGTTGTTCCTCCCCACAGAGAACTCGGTCCACTGTGGCCAGTACCGCCTGTGGTAGTGCGCCTTGGTGTCCCTGCTGTCCCAAAGGCAAAGATAGCAGAGAAACTTGGTTAAACCGCATTGGAGACCCATTAGGAATGCCACCATTTTGAAGTCTCCGATGACCTCTCAGCCATACTCATTATACTTCAAGGCATCCAGCAAGGTCTTGATGCTGTTGTCATCCTTTTTGAGGTACACCGAGTGAGCCAGGGGAAGAGACGGGTACTTGTTACCATTATGCAGCAGCACGGCTTTGAGGCTCCTGGATGAGCTGTCAATGAAGAGGTGCCGCTCATTTTGGTTACAGGCGATTCCGATTGCCTCGAACAGACTGGTCGCCTTGTGGCAGAAGCAGAGGCCATCTTGACAGGTGAAGAAGCTGAAAAAAGGTTGGTGACGCTTCCTCTGATCTGCGACTTGCACACTTTCATCGAACAAGTTCCACTGCTTTGAGGCTAGACGTCAAAAGCTCGGCATGGGACTTGGTGAGACCAAGATCTCTGATCAAGTCGTTGAGGATTTTTGGTTGGCGTAGTGTGGGTTTCTCTCCTCAGCTCCACCTCTGAAATTGTCATCTGGATCTACGTTTTCCTCACTCTCTGACTTGCTACTGTCTTCTAAAGACGGCTCCTTTCTCTCCGGAGGAGTGGGTACGGGGAGCTTATGTGACTAATGTGTAAGAGATTCTCGCAACTTTGAAAATTGTAAAAATTAGAAAATTAAAAACAAATTTTATAACATAAAATTCCGAGCAACAATTGTCCATCTTACCTTCCAGAGTTGTTTTGCATTGCTCGCAGGTGAAATTATAGTGCCCAGGGTTTGTCTTGATCCCCGACTGGCATGCCAAAATATGCCTTGTAGGCCTCACACATCTTAGCAGATGCTTCCACAGAGTACTTTTCTCTCTTTTCTTGATAAATTGTCCGCCGACATAGCATAATGCTTCTGCCGGATGCTTGCAGCTTCTTGATGCCATCTCAGAAAAATGCAGATATGTATCCACTTAGGCAGCTGGAACTAAACTGAACTGGTCGGCTTAAGGCCCCTGTATTTTTACTACTATTTATATTAATATGAAACTTCTAGAATGTTCTAGCAGTTACTCCAAGTTTACTCAGCACTGAATCTATCAGTAATGTTCTGGGAAATAGGGAAATTTCCAAATATCACTGTCTTGGTTACAAAAGCAAAGTTTTGTGGGGAATAATAGCTATTTTCTGTACTTTTGAGGCATAAGCAATTAGGAAATAACACTTACTACCCAGAACAGAAAAAATATGTTAACACTATGGGACCTCATTTGCCAGTAAAAATATGATAATTGGTTCTTTACCCTTCTATCTGGCAACAAAACTGACACCTTTTTGCAAGGAGTCATGTTTGCATAGACCGCAATACCTGCAGTCATAATACAAACAAAAGAACATAACTCTGATAATGTGCACTGTCCTTGAAGTTGATTGGTCCACACCCGAGACAGCTTTCCTTCGAGCCTAGTCTCATATGGGTAGGACCAGATGACGCCATCTGGTCCAACCCAATCTGGTCCAACCCATATGAGACTAGGCTCGAAGGAAAGCTGTCTCGGGTGTGGACCAATCAACTTCAAGGACAGTGCACATTATCAGAGTTATGTTCTTTTGTTTGTATTATGACTGCAGGTATTGCGGTCTATGCAAACATGACTCCTTGCAAAAAGGTGTCAGTTTTGTTGCCAGATAGAAGGGTAAAGAACCAATTATAATATGTTAACAGTGTAGTAATAATAATACATTATGTTTAAATAAATATGGATCTAATTCCGTCCTGGATTTGATCTCATGACATTCTGATTTGAGTTGAAAACCGATCCTGCCATCTGGCTGAATAGACACAGGCACCCATGCCTGGATATGTACTCCATTGGAACCTCATTTGCCAGTAAAAAATATGATAATTGGTTTTTTACCCTTCTATCTGGCAACAAAACTGACACCTTTTTTACAAGGAGTCATGTTTGCATAGACCACAATACCTGCAGTCATCTGGTCCAACCCATGTGAGACTAGGCTCTAAGGAAAGCTGTCTCGGGTGTGGACCAATCAACTTCAAGGACAGTGCATACATTATCAGAGTTATGTTTTTTGTTTGCATTATGACTTCAGGTATTGTGGTCTATGCAAACATGACTTCTTGTAAAAAAGGTGTCAGTTTTGTTGCCAGATAGAAGGGAAAAAACCATGGATATGTACTGTAAAGACAAAGATCCTTCAACCGATCCTGTATCTCTGGTTTTGAGGTAAGAATGAATTCAATGCAATGGTCAGAAAATCAACAGGGAAAACAACGTTTCACTTTCAGATATCTTGTCCCTCCGTATACAATGATAATAATAACAGCATTTTTACACATCGAATAGTAAGCTACATGGCCTTTGCAGAGTGCATCATTTGAGCATAATTAGTTCAACACGAACAAGTTCTGGGCCGGCCTCTAACATTCAGTGTCTCGTCATCAGCTCGCCTTGCTTGAATCAATGCTGGCAAGCGGATTGTTCACGGGCAATGCCCCTGCCTGTTCGAAGCTGGCTCCTAGTTCGACGCGAAACCATACAATGCATGACCACAAAACAAGCGTTCGCGAGGTTGCGGAGCGAGTCGCTAGCAAAACGAGTGGACAAGTGGCGGCGTCGTTGGTGTCCCCACGCAGCCCACGGGCTCACTCGAGGAGGGAGCCCAGGCGTTGCGAGCGTTTGCCTGGCTCCGGGCAGCAGCTCTGGCCACGTGACTCTTGCAAGCCTCGCCGTGAGCCCCTTGACACGACGACGCCGCCGCCGCCGGCCTAAAACAACCCACCCCATCGACCCACCCACTCCCCTCCGTCCATGCCTCCTTAATCTGGCAAAAGGAAGAAAGGGGGGGTGGGGGGAAGACACCACCAAACATCCACGATTTCGATCAGCGGAGAAATTATGAGCTCATGTGGAAATATTTTCTGGGTGTTTGTCTTGGGTCCAGCGAGATGGCGATTGTGCCCAGCGCGGCTCAAGATCGCGGTGCTCGGACACGGTCGGGGTTTTTCTTTTTGCTTGTGTTGCGTGACCGTTGCAGCCTAGCAGCCATCGGGCGTGTTCGTCTTCGCGAGCCGCTGTCCGCATCGACGGCCCCGGGGTGTTCGCATCCGCCCACACAAACCCACGTGCTCCATGCACGCCGGCAGCGCAAACATCGTTTAGAGCTGGGCGTCCACAACGCTGCTGTGCTCTCTTCCCTTCGAGGATGGGGGGGGGGGGGAACACACGTGCGTATGTACGTTGGACTTCTTTCGCACCGTACGTAGCCAACCGTGGTCATTGGTTAGAGCGGTCAGAGCTGCGCTCAGCTCACGCTCAGAAAACATTTAAAGCGAGTACCACATTGTGGGAAGGTAACAGTGGCTGTGCTATGTGGAGGGTGGATTCTGCTATTGAAATGTGGATTTTCCACCATTGGCTAAGGGTTGCCAACAAGAGGGAAATGGGCACAGGAAAACAATGCATTTGGTGATGCTGCTAATACTGTGGTAGCAGTGGTACACAAGCACAGATAAAAAAAATGCAACGCATTTGTCACCTTTAAACGAAGAATATATAATAGGAGGCGTTTCGGGCACCACACGGGAAGGAGATGACAAACACACAAAAAGTCATGGGTTACTTGAGCTAGGAGAGAGACATTTTGAATGTATCATGTACCACAGGAATTGCATATTGTGTGATGGCATAATCAATGACTGACTGCATTATCATATTAATTGCAGTCAACACACTCTGTAGGTTAACATTAAAAGGTCATCATGGCTAATGTTGTTTATGCCACCAGACCTATTTATTACTGCACGTGACCACACCCAGCGAGGTCACCAGACCCAGTGAGGTCACCACACCCAGTGAGGTCACCACACCTAGTGACGTCACCACACCCAGTGAGGTCACCACACCCAGTGAGGTCACCACACCCAGTGAGGTCACAACACCCAGTGAGGTCACCACACCTAGTGACGTCACCACACCCAGTGAGGTCACAACACCCAGTGAGGTCACCACACCCAGTGAGGTCACAACACCCAGTGAGGTCACCACACCTAGTGACGTCACCACACCCAGTGAGGTCACCACACCCAGCGAGGTCACCACACCCAGTGACGTCACCACACCCAGCGAGGTCACAACACCCAGTGAGGTCACCACACCCAGTGACGTCACCACACCCAGTGAGGTCACCACAACCAGTGACGTCACCACATCCACCTTCCACGATGAACCCGGATTTGGTCTCAGCTAGGTCACCAATAATTTTACATCCCCCCGCCACCATCCCTCATCAATAGATTTAGTTTTACACTTCATGTCATTTGTTCCAGCTCTGATAATTACCATGAAATAATAAGAGTAAAATGTATCGGTTTGATTGAAATGGAAATTGTTGCAATTTGAACCGATACATTTTTTATTTACTTAAAGGCCGCCACGGTGGCGAGATGTCATCTTCCTCGCCTGCTATGCTGGAGGTCGTGGGTTCGATCCCAACCCTGATGCCTGCTGTATATTTGTAATTTTCATGTTCTCCCTGTGGTCGTGTTGATCATTTTTCGGGTCCTCCCATTGTTCCCTCCACATGGAGAAACATGCGTTTATATTTTTTTATATTATTTGCCTGCTATACATTTCCACATAAGCCACTTGAGCTAGCTATTATTTATGACCAGGTCGCTTCTGATAGAGAAGCGAATAGCTCAATTGTGGGCTTTACCTGGTAAAATGAAAACATTATAGTTTGTTTTTCCGGGGTTTGCTTATATTTCCTATAATTTACACTCCCCTCTGTTTTTTAAATATGTTGTTGTTACTTTCTGACCTGCCCCAACTGGACATTTGTGAAAACGAGCAACCATAGCTCATCGGATTTAATCAGGAGAAATAAATATTCTGATTCTGATATAAAATGGGTGTGATATCCAAGGTGTGATCCAGCAGTGGAGTGACCATGGCTGATGATGACGATGATGGGTGTGGATCAGGAGGTCGATTGCAGTGACTTTGTAATTATCAACGTGGCATCATCTCCCAGCGCTGTTCCACGACAAGGTGACGGCAAGGCCATCCAGAGAGAGTTCCGAATGAGATTGTTTGAATCAAGTTACATTACATTGATCCTGGTATAAATAAACTAACAACTATTTTTTTTATTTAAAGCTTTCGTTACTGCAGGGATTCATATTCTTGGTTCTTTCGGTAACGTCACGTAGAAGGGAAACAATCAGAAGCGACCTGGCCCCAAACGATAGCTCAACGATGCGTCTTGTCGCGTGGAGATTCATCGCAGCCTCCTGCTCGGTCTCCCAGCCTGTGCGTTCATTCCACGACAACAGATCCACAATGCGTCCGCACGTTTCATTTACGAGCTACCAACTGCGCCCCTCTGATAGGCTATGCACTGGCTCTCCATCTACTACCGGTGTCTGTTCAAGCTCCTTAGGCGAGTATGTACATCTCTTCATGGCCTTGCCCCACATTACCTCGCTTCCCTTACCTCGTTTTACGCCTCCTCCCGCCCACTCTCCGCTCTCAATCTCTCCTCCTACTCCTAACCTTGCGCACAATCCAGTTTCTGCTCCTTTTCCCTACTGGAACAAACTTCCCCTCTACACGAAGCAAGTAGCACCCTCCTTGTCGAGTTTCCGCTCCACCCTCAAGACCCACACCTCTTCTCCCTGGGCCATCCTTTCCTCCATCCCGAGGCACCCACCGGAATTCCTGTACCAACTCACCTCCCTCCCCATACCCCATCCCTGTTCGCCATATCACCTTCAGCTACCCCCAATTGTACCACTCATAAGCCTTGTAAAGCGCCTTGGATAAAAGCGCCATGTAAATATAAGATAAGATACTTTAAACGCATGTTTCTAAATACAATCGGTGTTGCGTAATTCTCATCAAAATGTTAAAACTCAACAAATTTGTCGACAACACTGTGTTGTCGACAAAGGTAAGGTATAATAGGTGACGTTTCAGGCAATGTACCTTAATCAGAGCACATACATAAGGAGGCCAGAGACATAGCGGCCTTATGATAATTTGGGGCATGGCCCTTTTTCATCAAGAAGGACCATGGCCCGAAACGTCTCCTATTGTATTTTTCCTTTTTCAGGCCAGACAGTGTTGTTGACGAATGTGTTGAGGTTGTTTTGGTGTTAGTTAGCACTCAAGTGACGTCACACATCCATGCGCTTTAATGTAAGTGCAATGACATCAATGCAGCGCTACAGAGGCGTGCTTGACGGTGACTTTAAAGTTATTTTTCTTCTTCTCATAAATGAAACTTCACATTTGTCAGGGAACCCAGGCCACATAGCGCCTGGGCGAGAGTAACACAAAATGCGACCTGTGTGTTGTTGTTTTTATTTTACTGAACGTTAATCGTGCTTCTTCTGCACCGCTGCCAATGGAGCAACAGCGGCGGCAGCATCAGCGGATGATAGCGCGTTGAACGTAAGTGTCAGGCGGCCGCGACGGAGCCGTGGGGCGTTCGCTCGAGCGAGGAATGCGAGCGTGAGCGTCGTCCATGCCGTGGTGCGCGAGGCCTGAACCGCGGGCACTTTCCCGTGCGCGAGAGCGCCTTTGCCCGTCCTCACTGCTGTTGGCAGTTCGTAGGGGGGGTGGAGGGGTGAACGCAGAACGGACAAAATGATTTCCAGACCTCTGAGCGCGCATGCCGCCAGAAAAATGCATTCCCACTGTGTGTGTTGTTTATATGTTTTTACAGCCAAATTTTTGCTCAAATAAATCCCAGGCTTTGCATAAAGCACCTCAGTGTTGATTACACGGTTAAGCCAAACGTCAGAGCGTGCGTGCAAAAAGGCTTTTGTCCTGTGCTCGTTACTCGAGTGATATTTCTCATGCTATTCAAATAGATTTCCGCAAGAGTTTCGTTCTTTTCCAGTAAACTCTGTTATTATTATTCCAATTTGTCGCAATGTATTTTTTCCCCCCAAATACAAAATTGAATTAAAATCCATGTAGGGATATTGTTCACGCTCGTAACATTACTCCGGCTGCGGCGTTACTGTGCGTGACTTTCGAGCGGAAAGGTTACGAGTTCAAACCCCCTTTGGGGGGATTTGTGACTCGGCACATTTCCCCTCTGCGATCAACCGAATGAGTGTCACTTTGATTTTACTCGACGGAAAACAGCCCTCGCCATGCGAGTGTGGAATTTCCCGACCCCCCCCCCCCCAAAAATGGCTCGGAGCCACGGAGGTGAGCACCGCTGCACACTTGTTGGAATGAGTCGAAGTTAAGTCAAAGACACTCCGGCTTAAAGTTTGACTTGACCGTAGCTTCTGGAACACGGTGAAGGAGCAGCGCTGCAATTTCTTGCTCATGCCACTACCGGCGGAAAGGCCTCCACCAGAGGAAGCCCCCTCTGAAGAGGTATTTGGCCTTCTCTTCCACGTCGTGGAAGAGGTGGGAGCACGTTACAAACTTTGCCCACCACCTCGCTGTGTTGCACCCGTTGGTACCACGCCACAGAGAAAATAGCAACGGCGTCAATGCGAGTAATAATAATAATACTATGGATGCGTGTGCGTGTGTGCGTGCGTGTTGCCCGTTGGCCAACAGTCTGTTAAGGCTTTACTGGGGGATCTTTGTGTTGCCCGTCAAGGGAGTGATGGGAAAAAAATAACGATGCCAGTGGTGAACCAGTTTATACTGCTGGGTGGGTGGACAGAAATGCGGGGAAATCTTAGACAATTGCTCATTGTTTGGACTTCTGCGCCAGAAGATAAAACCGGTGGGCATGCGGATTGCAAGTCCAGTGTGCAGACAATTGTACCAAGGCAGCAACTCCCTCAGCTTATCAACTATAAAACTAAAACACTTTTTTTTATTTTACTAGGTAAAGCCCACTGAGCTATATAGCTATTTTTCAGAAGCAACCTCGCCATAAATGACAGGTCCACGAAGTGGCTTATCATGTGGACATTTATAGTAGCCAAATGCTCTAAACGCACGTGTAGTCTAAATGCAGAAAAACTGTAGGACCTGGAGAAAAATCCATGCAATCATGGGCAGAAATACACGAAACCCCCCAATATAAAGGCGTCCGGGTCGGGATCAAACCCAAGGCCTCCTGCACACCAGGCGAGGGAGTTAACATCTCTCTGCGAGTGAACAAACAACTCAATGTTCAGGTGGCACTCATCGCCTCTTGTGGCCCTGGGCTAGTGGTCAAAATTCCTAATGGCCGGTCTCTCCATGGGATGTCCACTATTGACATTCCACAAAGCAGTGCTCACTCTATTAATCCCTGAAGGATGATTGGCTGTGGTTCCCCAACCGTGATTTGAACTTGCAACCTTCTGATTGCTAATTATTCACTCCAAGCGCAGTTTCACGTGGGCAAAAATTAAATATGCAAAGCATAATGTACGGCAACATAAACTTCAAGCGCATTTTGCAGACTGTGTAAATAAAGGCTATTCTAGTGTCTGACTAGATTGCATCGTGAATGGCTTGCTCCAATTGCAATAAAAAAACGTTGCAAGTTTGACTTCCCATTAAAAGTCAACAAAGCCCATCATCTCATCAGGGTCTCAAAAATTTGTACCACATATTGAGAATTCAACCGTGGTCATGCAATCTTTTTGATTTCCCTTTTACGTTCGTGAGTTAAAAAAAAAATTGTCCACCCACATTTATTTATTTGAGCGTTTGTTATTTTATTTTCTTCCATTGTTCCCAGTTTTACACGCATGTTTTGATGAAACAATGTTTTTGGTGATGCTACTGCTGCTGCATTGGCATTGGCACACAATGAATAGAGAAAACACTCACTTTGGTCAATAACACTGTGGCCTTAAACGGAATTAGTTTTTATATAAATAATAGGCAAGGCCCTTTCATTGCCCACAACTGTTATGTTTGTCCTTTCACATCGTGTTATTGTTGACGAATGTGTTGAGTATTTCTGGCAAGATCGTTGCTTTGTTTATTTGTGCAACGCGTTTATTTGCTTGTTTATTTGATCAGTTGTTGCTTCATCATTGTGTGATTGTTTCATCAGCCGTTTACATTATTTCACTCGTATTTCCATGATTGAATGTTTGTTCCTGCATTGTTCAACACTACTGCTTTATTGTTCACTCAATTGATCGATTGGTCATTTGTACATTTTTACAATGTAATATTTGCTCACCGCTCATTCACACTTTCCTTTCTTTTCGATCGTTCGGCCATTCGCTCGGTCCACCGTTCGGCCACGCCAATCGCTCTTTTGACGTCTCACCGATCCGCTCGATTGTCTATCCGACCGTTCAATGGCTCGCCCCCCACCCCGTCCTCATTCACCAATCGCTCCGTCGTCTCTCCCAAACCCTCCATCCGACCCCCTCCCTCCGCAGCTGCAGAACGCGTCCTGGGTGGGCGGCAGCAGCGCCGGCGGCTCGCCGGTCTCCAGCTGCATGATGTCCCCGCACGACGCCCTCCCGCCGTCCTGCATGTCGCGCCACGCGCACGCCCACGCCCACGCCTTCGTGGGCATGCCCTCGCCGGGACCGTGCCTCTCCCCGCCGGGAATCGGCAGCCTCTTCAACGGCGTGGGGCTCGGCGCGGGCGGAGGAGGAGGGACGGTTCCGTCCGGGGCGTCGAGCGGCGGAGGGGGGATCTCGAATGCGGCGGCGGCCGCCGCGGCAGCGGCCGCCGCGGCTGCAGCGGCCGCTGCCGCCGGGGTCAACGGCCACGAGTTCACGCTGAGCGTGGAGTGCGAGCGCAAGAGCACCAGCATTGCCGCGCTGCGCATGAAGGCGAAAGAGCACAGCGCCTCCATCTCGTGGGCCACGTAGCCGCGATGAGTCGCGCAGCAGCAGCAGCAAACCGCAGTCAGCAGCAGCCAACATTCGCTGTGAGGTCGTGTGGCGAAGTGACACCCGCCACCCCCTCCAAACCCACCGCGCCCCTCGCCGCCCCCCAACCCACCCTACTTCGCCCCCCTTTGAAACCACCATCAGTGCCGCCACTCAAGCTGCGATCGATGCAGCCTCAACTCAACTTTGGCCTGGGTCACAGAGCTCTGGCGTGGTTGGCGAGCAGCGAAGTACGTCCCACGGCCAGTAGTGGAGTTCAGAGCCCGCGGGTGCCTTCATGCATTGAGCATTTGAAGTTTTTCACGTAGAACGAGTTCCGGCCGCAGTACTGACTCTTTTCAACGCCCTGCGCTCGGGTTTATGGCAGAGTCGTGGTGTTAATGAAGGTCAAAGTGTCCTCTTGCTGAAATGAACGTGGGGCATTGCTCACTGCGGTTGGCAGCCCTGACCTAATGGTGTCAATTCCATAATCCGATGGCAAGGTTCGTTACCTCGAGAGGATGACCGCCGTTCCCACCAGCTTTTTATTGACCCTGGGGGGATGATAATAATGGGCAAAAATCGACCAACCAAAACACGGATTTGAACTTCAGACCTTCCGACTGTACGTCAGGTGCTCTAATCATAACGCCACTCCACCAAATCATAATAATAACGATACAAATAAGACTTCACTCAGATTCTCCATTTCAGGAAGGTCACTCTTGAGATGCTTGACAGATTTCGAATTGGGTTTTTATTGTTTAAACCTAAGGATCTTGCTCAGAAAAATTAGATAAATCCAGCATCCTCTTTGTTTCGAGTCCTGTACCATCATACTCAAGGTCAAGAGCTCATCAAGGCCAACACAGTTGATGCCGTCATACCTTGCCCCAGTAAAAAAATTAACTTTTTATTTTACTCGGTAATGCCCACTGAGCTATATAGCTCTTTTTCAGGAGTGACCTGGCCGCAAATGATATCTCAACGACGTGGCTTATCATGTGGAAACGTATAGCATCCAAATACTATAAACGCACGTTTTTAAATGTGGAGGAAAAAAGTGGATGACCCAGAGAAAGATCCACGTGACCACGGGGTCGGGATTGAACCCACGAACCTGCGGCCTACCAGGCGAGGGGGATAACATGTCGACACTACGACGCCCAGTTTCACGTCCGCCCCTCGGTCGCTGATCTCTGGGAGCTATCGACGCTGCCGGTCTCGGTCGCCCATCGTCTTCCTCCAGCTCACGCCCCCCCCCCCAACCCCCTCCCCCCACCCCCGCGACGTCATTGCAGCCTCCTCCTGCTGCTCCGTCTGCTGTAACGTGGACGTTAAAGACCCAGTGAAAGCCGCTTGCAATGAGAGTGGGCAATTGCGTGCCAATGTAGTGCGGAATCCAGATCCCAAATTTTCAACATCACTTGCTGTTTGAATGCGAAAATAAATTAATAAGCATGGGCCTGTAGATTTGCTTTGCGAGCAAAATACGCAGTGACTCTCAATATGGTCTCAAGTGTTTAGATAAAGGACAAGTTACTACGTAAAAAAAATCAAATATCAGATATATGGCCGTAGAGATGATATTTGTTATAAATGGTGTGTCCGAGTGGTCCGACGGTTCGATCGCTTGACCCAACACACGTAAGTTTGCAAGTTCAAATCCCCATTGGTCGTCAACTCTGCCCATCATCCCTCCAGCGTCTATAAATTTGTGAGTAATACATCTGCGACTGTTGCACGAATAGAATGGCCCCCACCATGAAAGTGTGGAATTGTTCAGCACTGGCTGAGTGACAGGTAACGAGCCTTGGAGCGCTTCTCCGTCGCTCATCCAAATAGGAAGTAGGCACTTTGACTTTTCAAAGAGGAAATGCGTGGCAACAGTTTAACGGACGGACTTGCCATCTCGACAATGGCATTCGAATGCATAGTGCGGGCTACGTACGTGCACACACACACACGCGCACGCGTGTGCACGCGTGCAGAACTCAAGCAAGACAGCTACACAGGTGGCAAGTCTCTCTTTGAGTAATGAAGCACCTGGCTCTCTGAAGAAATGCTCCTCGGGCGGTCGACGCTTGTGGCTGCTGCTGCTGCTGTTGCTGCTGCTGCAGCAGCCAGAAGAACAATGTTGGGGCTGTAGGGGGCAAAGAGTGGAGATGAAAAAAAAACGATCCAGCCTTCCAGACACTGACAAAAAGAATCTACGACTTCAATCTGACATTTTGAGAAGTCCAAGTCCCATGGATTGGGGAATTAGGCGAAAAAATATTTAGTGATGTGATGTGTTTGCATTTGGGAGCAATGGAAGGTTTAAGTTTAAAGGTTTCCGTTTTATTTTTAGATTCTTTGGCTTGGCAAGGATGTGGGTTTTTTTTTTCTTGCTCTCGTACTAACACAGTGTTGGTGGCGTATGTCCAGTATATATATAAAAAAAATTTCCGAAGTTAAATTCGTATTTTTTTTTTTAACACGAGACACGTTCGCCACGCATGCAGTGCTTTGGGTGTGCGGAAAGTTGTTATATGCAAATGTGCCCCCTCCTCATTTTTTTCACGGTCTGACGAGTAAGAACCGCGCCGCTTTAAATATTTCGCGGAAAAAAAAAACATATTTTAAGTGCTTAACTCGAAACCTCGTTGTCCGCGCTTTGTGCTATAAAAGTAGACGCAGGGGATGCGTACAGGAATTTTAAAGTTTAATAAAATACAAAAAGTGGTTGTCCAATTATTTGCTGTAAGTATGTAAAAAAATATGTTTTGCCATTTTTCTCGTGTTGTCGCTGGGTACGGTGGGTGAGGTGAGCAGAAACCGTCGTGTTTCTTTTGTTTTCCTTTTAAATCGTTCCGCAACCATGGCGTCGGGGGGTTCTAATGCGTGGCCCGGCTTGGATTTTACAGAGGCGCCTTCGAACGGCGACGGCTCCTCTGGGTGGCGACGCGAATTCGAACGCGCGCTCGCCTCGGAACTCAACTCGCCGTTGGGTTTGTCCGTGCGCTATTTTAAGTTCGGCCCTACCATCGCGGCCGAAGAACGTCCAACCCCCCATTTACAAAATCAATTAGGGCAATTCGCCGGCGCCGATAATTACCGGGGCTCGCGAAAGGTTCCGAAGAAACCCCACGGGAAGCGCGCAGTTAAAATAACTGGGCGGACAGAAACGCATTTGCTAAAGTGCTGCACCTTTTTTTTTTTGCCGAGTGCATGGTAATGCATTTTCCTTGTTTATACAAAGCGGTTCAAGGTGGCTCTATTCATTTATAATTGCTTTGTTTCCCCTTGAATGTGGCATACGCGGCGCTTCAAAAACAAACAGGTCCCGAAAAGTCATGCCACTGCTATCAGCTGATGCCGCTCCAGCCTTGAGAATGCTGCTCGTGACAAATGCATCGACCTGTTGCTGTTAATGCCCTGAATTACCAAAGGCATGTAAACACGAGACATGAAGGGTGTACCCTGGTATAGTGGAGAATTTTAAATTGATGTGCAAATCGCCCCCGTCGTTGAAGCCAAAAACCCAAGTTCACGCCGTTTCTCCGTTCAATCGTGTGCCGGGAACTTCCCGTCTCTGTTGGTCGCCTGGAGCCAGCGGTGGAAATTCCACATTTCTACGGTGAAGGGAAAAATGTTCATGACCCAGCCAGTGTTGATTCCGCACAGAAGTGATCATTCTATGGGCAACAGAGGGGACGACGGGCTGAGCCAATCCCCACTTCACATCTAAATATTCACCTTCTGATTCGACACTACCCGTGGACATCAAAGCAAACAACGATCCATGGTTGTACCGTACTATGCTCCCGTGTCTACTGCTACCTGCTTTCACCGGGACTCACTGATCAACACATCTACGCCACTATATACGGAACGAAACAGTAAGACTTCTCCACAAATCTGGCTGTCGCCTGATGAAGCTGGTTGTAATTACTGGCGAAACGTCGTACTCAGTTTGTAAATGTTGTGGCTTGGCTCTCCAACACACCGGTGTAGTGCTGTACTAGTGACGAATTGGCACGTTCTGTTCACGTGACAAACCTTACTAGTTGGCTGTGTCGGGTGGTCGCGGGTTTTAACGACACATTTATATTTTTACGCGATCTAACCCAAAAAAACCTCTTACGGTGAAAATTGGTTAAATGACCCCCCACCCCCACAGTGCGAGCCTCACCACCTCTCATCCAGCTGTGGATTGACGAAAGGAGCTGCTTGTGCACGTTCACTTACGGCCCATAATCACAGCGCCACTCTGCTCGTTGTAGCTGTTCGAGTCACTGCGCGGATGGAGCTGCATCCTTCTGTGTGCGGTGATTTACACTGCTCACCTCTCTGTGTGTGTCAGGAGTTCGAGCCATGGGGAGGAGGGCAGGTGTTTGTGGTGTGAGCGCAGACCTCTGCGTGTGTGCGTGACCGTTTATTGACATGGCACACGTTTTCGCTCTCAGTCACCATTCAGAATCCGCTGCGTCAACAAACGCAAAGCCTACTTCCACGTGCGTAGTGAAAATAAATAAAATGGTAAAGTTGTCAGGAACACTTAGAAAATAATTAATCTAAAATTTTATGGAAGTGAATCACCGTTTCGCTGAAAGACACGTGTGCAGTTTAAGGACTGAGAACGAATGCTCTTTACTTTCTCAAAGTGCAAATTTGACTTGTGTCATCGTCAGGCTAATATATTTTCAAACGTCCCATACCACGTTTTCGCATCTAAACCGAATGATACATGTTTTTCCGTCTGTCTGTAAAACGACGCAATCGGTACACATAAAGTGCTTGCCACAAATTAACCACGATGATACCTTTCTGATATCGTTAAGGGGCATATACCGTCACACAAACTCTGGTCATCCTCGCAGAGGCTTTTGACAAATCATCGGACAAAGACGGTCATTGCCTTGCGCGCTTTCAGATGCGCTTCTGCGGCCATCTGGAACGCTCTTCCGATATTAAGAAGCCACTGGAGCTATGCACTTTTAAATCTAGATTGAAAACGTATTTCTTTAGAACTGCTTTTTGTGTTTAGTTGTTTGTTGTCCTTCCCCCACACCTTCGATCAGCACGGTTGGCTACGTACGGTGCGAAAGAAGCTCAACCTACATGCACATACAAAAACAAAACCACCACTGATGCACGTGTATGTATAGCAAGTTAATTCCTAACAGCGAAATATATCAATAGAGTGTGGAAATTAGGTAGAATTTGTGGTACACAGTAATATAAGTACTAGGCATACAACATTTAATCCCTCCTTGGGATTCGATGAATTGTCAAAGTTCAATGTCAACATGTATTTCGAGTTTATTTTTTATTACATCATCATCAATGTAGTGCCTCTAGTGGCTGCAGGGTTCATAGTAAACATACCACGTGACATACAATATAGAGGATCCAAAGATAATGGATTCTCAAATTCGCAAATCGATGCATGTGTCGTGTGCATAAGAAACAATTTGAATTGATCAATCCATGCACCTGCAATTAGCCAGAGGTCATTATATGTATAGTCTGGCTCTGGCCATGGGAATGTGTAATTGTCACTGGTTGTCCGGAACATCCAATAGAGTTGAGCAGCGCCCTGAGATATTTTAACTTTTTTTTTATTTGAACAGCACTTGCTCCAAAAGTCATTGTACGTTATAATGGGTTTGTAAAATTGTCAAACAAATACACTTTGTCTCGGAATACATCGCCGTAGTAATGTGGCTAATGTAGCTCTCTGGTGTGTGTTTTTGGATCAAAGCCGTCCCCGCGTGTGGTTCGAATCCAGCAGCCACCCTGATTAATACTGCGGGGTGCAATATCGCCGCCACCGCCACGTGCCGCCTGCCTCACTGTGGACGTTAAAGAATCCTTAAACTTTCGTCGCAGTATCGCGTGCCACTGTCAGGGTGCCATTTTTTGCCAAGTTTTAAAATGACATCGCAAATCATTGTAATCTATCGGGATTGTACGGAGCGATCATCGACTCCTCTAGCAGAATAATAATGGACATTTGCAGGCAAGGTGCCGAGTCACATTGTGTGTCGAAAGGGACAGCTGCCACTGGGGGTGCCCTATCAAAAGTTTGAGATGAGACAACCTAGCGAATATCAAGGGCGCTCTTGTCAAAAAAACAAATAGTTCACGTTTGACCGCGAGTGTCGTTCAGCCGGAAGCCACATCCAAGAGGGCTATGCAGCACAGCTGCGAAAACATATTTCGTGGTGATTTCGCATGCTTCATGAAATTGGCATTCTTATAATCGGTGTCTTACAGGCGCGCATATACTTGCAATGTTGTGAGACCACTTTTGACAGTGCCAATTACATTTGATGACACGCGGTGTATGATGAGAGTGGGGATTCCATGGGCAGTCAGGGCCTTGCTTGTCAGCCTCGGTAGAGAAGAACCTCTGAGTGCAGTTCGATAGGTTTTGTGGATCCGGCTCTATGTCCTGATGTCCATCATTAGGAGGAGCTCTACTACAACCACTTCCCATTTCACCAGCCTCAATTCATACACAAACATTGACCAATCACAAAGAGGTTATGCCAACAGAAAATCATTGTAGGCAACGAGCAACTGGTACCTCCACAGTTGTAACGTCCCATCAGTTCAATAGACAAATCCTTTCTTGTAAAGGGATTGTGCGCAGAGAATATGACCCACGACATGTGTGTGTATATGTGTTTACACTGGCTGTCCAATGGGGAGACTGACTGCTCCCATAGGAATGTGGAGTTTCCACCACTGGCTCAGGGCTGCCAACAAGAGACAAGTAACGCCCACGCTTGTGTGAGCAGGGAGACGTGGACTTTTAGGCTTGTGTATATTGTATGTATGTATATATAGACAAAGACAAAGATCCCCAAAATAATGTTCGCGAGCACCTATTAAGGCACGCACAGCACCCGAGGGGGTGGGTGGTCAGCACCACGCCCGGCCGCCTTTGTCTCCCCAGTGGCGATGTTTACACACTGCACCAGATGCTCATTTGAGGCTGAGTCGACCTAGGGGTGTCCCGGGACCCGTTTCGATAATCGCCACTGTTATTGGCCGAGAGTGGAAATCGAACATGGGTCACCGGGTTCAAAGCGCAGCGCGCTAACCGCTACACTCCCGCTCCCACTATGTATATATATACACTATATATACACAAACACACATATGCTACATTCATCCGGTGCCTGTTGCCAGGGATTATATGGGTAAATTTAATTTAGCTCTAGGGCAACTGTAATGTAATATGTATCGAGCACACTTCATTATGCTAATACAGCTCTATTGGACTTACTACAAAAAAAAGAAGTCAATTGGCAGTGAACTTGACAGTTAACTGTAAAAATAAGCAAGGCCAGCAGTGACATTATTTTCCTAAAATCAGAGAAGAAAAATAATTTGCAAAAGCCGCAACCAAAAAAGGAGAACATTTGAAGGTTATTTTTTTGTTTTATAAAAATAAAGACGATTTGTTATTGAAATAAAAGTTATTTGTGCACATGTCTTGAGGCCGGTCTGCCTTGTTCAGTCTCCGAGACACAGAGACAGAGTGAGAGAGAGTGTGAGAGTGTTATTGTAAGGGTTTGACGACTCCACGAGAAGGTCACCATCGGAGAAAACCCTCACGTGTTTCGAAATCCGGCGGAGCGGTGTCCATCGCAGCGGTGCCCCAAGAGTCCGGCGACCCGAGTTCGACTCCCGGTCCGGGCCCCCTCCCCCCTTCACCAATGCGCACTGAC